TTAAATCCTTGTCTCTAAAGTTTGTACTTTTCCTACTCTGTTATTTCAGAGATTGATATGCATCTACTTAGTAAGTTGTGGTCTTTTTCGAGACTTAAATTTTATAGTGTGTTTCACAATGAATGATATCTTAGAAATCAAATCTGACAGCAGCCAAACACTGCATGCATCACCTGTTTCTTAAAGCTTCCTCATTTGTACAATAAGGCATTATTACCAGAATATCCTTTTGTAAAATATGTCATTAGAAACAGCCAATAACTTTTCCTGGGCAATGCCAGAATGAAGGACATTATACTAATGTATGAGAAGGTTTAAACAGAATAAAACCCTGCAGTTTACCTCTAAGAAAGCTGCAGGCGATCCAGGAAGGCGCAGCCCAAACTCAACGTGCCCCTCACAGTCCTCAGCAAACTTAAATGCAGACAGAGAGTATTCAGTTTAAGTGCTGGAGTGTCGAGAGACCCAGCTAAGAAGCACTATTTTCTAGGAAGGGTCAGTCAAGGTCAGAGCCTGGAAGCCAGATATCTTGAAGGCATGGGCAGTAGAGCCAGCTGGCAGCTGGCTGAAAAAGCCAAGTCTGAGCACAGGAGCCAATGTACTTGATCATCGGCATCTGTCCGGGGGAGACAGGAGCTCAGGCTCAAAGAGCTTGCCTGTAATATAAGCTAGGTTCAGGGTAATGAATTCCGAGGAAAATGTCTGGAGGTCAGAAACCAAAGGACCCGCAGGAACTGTGTGGTGCCTGGTTAGTAATCCTCCTTTAGGTCACCCGTTCACATTCTTGGATGCAGCTTGGAATCTGTTTTCTCCCCTTAAAGATCTGCACTGAGGCTGGAAGGGACTGATCATACACATCTGCCTGTCCAGATGCCCAGAGCAGGCCCAGCGTCCAGGTGTCAGCCGTCACGGGCCCCAGATCCTCTGCTGTGTGTTACTGTGTGTGCCCAACTAACTTGGAGCTGGGAACATTCGTCTCCTCCAAGGCAGGCTGGTGTGTGTGGCAGGAGCAGAAATGTGCAGAGCTGAGAGGCAGCTTCTTGTGTTTAGGGTTAAGATTTATTAAAAAAATAATAATAATAACAATAACAGAGAAGGCATATGGCAAACCTTGGCAAGCCCACCACCAGATATAACTGCTGTTTCCCTTTGTTCAGCACTCTTGCTTCAGATAAAGTCCTGACTATTTTCCTTTAGAGTTTCTTTCTCCTCCCCTTCTCTGCAGAAGCAGCCATTATCATGAGTTTGGTGTATATTCTACCAGTAAAATTTTAGGCTGCTTACATCTCACTTTCAGATTTGGAAGGTATTGTTGTTGTTCAGTTGCTCACTTGTATCTGACTCTTTGTGACCCCATGGACTGCAGCACACCAGGCTTCCCTGTCCTTCACTATCTCCTGGAGTTTGCTCAAACCCATGTCCATTGAGTGGATGATACCATCTAACCATCTCACCCTCTGTCACCCCTTTCTCCTCCTGCCCTCAATCTTTCCCAGCATCAGTGTCTTTTTTAATGAGTCAGCTCTTCACACCAGGTGGCCAAAGTATTGGAGCTTTATGTTAGGGTCTAATCTTCCCCTATGTTAAAATGATGACATTAAAGCCTAGAGGAGGGAATTCCCGGGTGATCCAGTGGTTAGGACTCTGCTCTGCATCCACTACAGGGGCCACAGTTTCAATCCCTAGTCTGGGAACTAAGATTTCACACAGCATGCAGCACACAGACAAAAATAAAATAAATAGGAAAGCCTAGAGGAACTGAATAATGAATCTAAAGTGTCGCCCAATCCCATCTCTCTCCCCTTTTCTCTCTCTCTCTCACCCATTCTGAATTTACCCAGTGGCAAATATTTACTCTTCCATGCTATAAAGATTTTAAATAAAGAAGCAAGGCAGGAAGGAAGGGGAAGAAAAGAGAAAGAGAAAGAAATGTGGTTTGGCTTATCAGGGAAGTGATATTTACACATGTGAAATAAGAAATGATTGAGAGGACAGGATTAAAGATTAACTCCTGCATGATCAGGGCCAAGTGTGGAGCATTGGAAGGTACCATGCACCTTCTGGACGGGGAGCCTTCATGCTGGCTGGCTTTGCTGCTGGGGACAAACATTTCCGGCTGGGGCGGGTAGGCTGACTTTGAGAGCTTGAGGCAGAAGGAAGAGGAGGGAGTGGAAGGTCAGAGCCAGAGGTACTGGGGGTAGTGGGACGCGGGGCGACAGCCGTGTACAGGCTGGCAGGGCTACGTAGATCAGTTGAAGGACTTTTCACCTATTAAGCTTTATCTCCTTTTCCAGTCAGAATGTTTCATAAATGGTGATAGTTTAAGGAAAGACACTTACTACTGAGTACAAATTGGTAAAACTTTTTTGGAGGGAACTGTCTCAGAAGGTTCAAAAATGTGTGTTCTTTGATCAGAATGAGCCACGTGGCTTCTCACAGAAAAACAAACAAACAAAAAAAGCAAATTAAATGCTAAAAATGACCATTGTAGTTATGTATATTCTGTATTCAAAATGGTGTTATAGAGTCACAATAAAATATATGGAAGCATAATATATTTAAAAAAAAACAGAAAATCAAACATACAGTATATATTTTGTTAAAAAATACACATGCACATTAAAAGAAAAGATGGGGTGGGGGATAAACCACCTGAGTGTCAGCAACAATTATTTGTGGGAGGTGGAATCACTTGTGATTTCTAGTTTCTTCCTGTTGCTTGTCCAGATTTCGTAAACTCCCTTCAATGAACACATTTGCTTTTATAATAAGAAAATTATAAAAATGGCAAACAATTATGTATTTATTTAAATAAACTGAAATCCCCTGGAGCCAAAAGATAAAATTATTCTCATTTATGAAAAAAAAATTTTTTTCACTTGTTCTAGAACCTAAGGTATAATGTTCTAGTAGTCAAAATTCCCAAATGATGATGTAACTGAGGAAGAAACATACACTCCTAGACTTCCAAGAGGCAAAGAATAACTTATGAGACTGTAAGACTTGAATAAGATGGCTATTTGGGCTGAGTTATTCCTTTAAGAGAACTGAGCTGTCTAGTGAACTTCTTCAAAGGAACATTCTCACTCGACAGATAGTATATCTCAAGTGCAGCCCTAAAGTCTGTTGTCTTCTTTATGTTTGATAAACTACTCCTCAGTCAACGCTTTTAACTTAGTTTGGCTTAACATGAAATATATGCAAGTAAAAAAAAAAAAACCCCACAAGCCTCAGTATTTCTTTCCTGAAAAAGGTATTTCTAGCTTTGCCACTAGCTTTCCAATAATTTGGGGAAAGTTTTAGATCATTAATTATTAATTATTTGGTGCTTTAGACTCCCCTGTAGAAAATGAATTACTAATAAAGGTTTCCCCCCATCTTAAAATCCTCTAGTTCTACGAATATAACAAAGTTCATATTCAAATTGTCATTGGTATATACAAGATCATTCTGAAAGAAAGGAATGACAAGTGACCCACAGTTTTACCTCCACTTGTACCAAAAGATGTGTCTCTGGTTAGTGAAATAACACTACTGCATTTGAATTGAGTGCCCTTTACATACACTGATGACCAGATCAGTCCGAATGGAAATATTTGCTCTGATAATCACTTAATTACCATAAAAATATACATACATGAGTAATAGAGTTAACTAGCCCTTCCCCACTGTGTGTGTGTATGTTGTTCAGTCGCCAAGTCATATCCAACTCTGTGACCCCCATGGACTGCAGTACGCCAGGCTTCCCCGTCTCTCACCATCTCCCAGGGTTTGCCCAAGTTCATGTCCATTGGATCGGTGACGCCATCCAACAAATTTCATCCTCTGTTGCCCTCTTCTCCTTCTGTCTTCAATCTTTCTCAGCATCAGGGTCCTTCCAATGAGCTGGCTGTTCACGTCAGGTGGCCAAAGCATTGTATGTGTATACAGAATCAAAAGCAGTGGAACATCTTAGATGGCAGAGAGCAGCTAATGATGACAGCTGGCTCTGGTCACAAGATGACAGGAACCACAGGTGAGAAAGCCCCCAAAACTACTTTACCTAGTTCACAGGTTTGCTTATTTAAATAAACACAAACAAACAAGAGAGGGTCTTGCAAGGATAAATGACCGCACCATGCTAGGACTGAAATAAATGACCCATTCAACTCTGTGTAGCTGGGGTCCAAGAGAAAAAGAAAAAGAACTTAATTGGGCCCATAAAAGATTGTTCTAGCTCCTGGCAACTGTAGTCAAGAATAACTGGTGTGATTGTTTTTTTTTTTAACTAAAACATATTTTCTTTCTTGTTTCATTACATATCATAAATTTAGATGAAACTTAGAACTCTTAGTTCAGAAAACTTGCTTTTGAAATTATAATCCTTCACTTCTTAGCTAGCATACATTTCCAAGAACTTCTTAGAAGCTAAGCAACCTGCTGCATTTGGCATTTGCTGGGGTCCAGATAATAGGATGAGATGAGAAGTGATTGCTCTTGTTTTTATTTTAGCTGTATTATTGTCCTCTGTCACTCCGGTTCCCAATCTCAATGTTGGTTGAGTTTGTGGTAGAGATTTTGGAATATATTGCTAAGTTCTCCAGTGTTAGAAAACAGAGATGAAAAGGCCATGAAAAAAAAAGTTAAAGAAATAGTGATTATTTTCCCTCTTCCCACAACTGACTAAGAAAAAGATGAAGATGAAACTCCTCTCAAACTCACATGTTTTGGGCCCTGCAGGTAGATCTCTCTGAAAGGCCCAGAACAAAAGCATTTGTGCCTAGCAGCGGGAAACATGTGGTGTAACCACCGCCTGCATGAGGTGGTCAGAAAATCCATAACTCAGGTATTTGGGGATGCCTGACATAGAGGAGAGGCACCACTTCCTGAGCTTTTATTGAAATAACTAACATTGAAAAACTGGGGAGAAGCAGCAGTGCTGGACTTTAAATCTCCCCCAAAGCAAACCAGCTTTCTTGACTTGATATCACCAGGTTCAAAACTCTGGATTCTTTGCGCAGGTACGTGTCTCCGGGGCCCAGGGCAGAGAGAACGAGCCTTCAGAGTGGACCTGGGTTGCCAGCCCGGCCGCTACTCCTTCCTCTGAGGCTGCCACCATCCCGGGGCCAGTGCTCAGGCCTCCTGAGGATCAGGCCAAGGGCCTGGGAACCAGGGCTCTGAGTCCCACTTCGAACTTAGAGCCAGCAAATTTTGTGCACAAAGGTAAGAGATTTCTGCCCACCAGCTGCTTTATCTGTAATAGTAAGGCACAGAAAGGATGGTCTCTAAAATCTCACCCAGAGGCAGAGGGAGCATATTCTGATTCTAAACAGGAGGGCAAAGGAAAACTTTTCATTTTATTATGTATAGAATTGGAGAACTAGGGGGTCATGGAACAAACTTGATCAAAAATTTTGAAGGTCTTATAGTGTTTATTGTTATTATTAAAATGTGAATGCCTTTAGAGAGGATGCTGTTCTCATGTTTCCCATAGCTCCTGCCATCCCCTATTGTCTTACTTGGAACCTTCACGACTGCAGGCATTTGAAGTTTTGACCCCTGGGTGGAAGAAAGAGAAAGAAGCTAGAATCTAGGTTCCGATTTACCAACATATTGTCTATGGTGTTAATATCCATAAAAATTAATCATTACATATATAGAGTTTCTAAAGAACATGCAAGAGAGACAATACCCTTGCCCCAAAGCAGCTTAGATTGGCTTGAAAAAGACATTACTTAGTTACCGTGTTTTGAGAGTGGAGGGAGATAGAATCCACTGCTCACTTCCATTTGGCCAAAGAGGCGAAGTTAGTGGTCAGTTTTAGAAAATAAATTAGTTGAGATATACTTCAAATCTGGGGAAATGGTTATGGCAGATGGAGAAAGGGCTTGTCTTGCTATTGAGAAATGAAGCTTATGGCATGTAAACTATTGCACAAAACACAACTGTCAGGAAGCAAGCATCTATTTGGCCTTTCTGGGGAATTTTCCCACCTTGGCATTACTTTCTCAGTAAGGAATACTAACCAAGGCACTAAGGACAACCATGAAATAAAAAAGGGATTTAACAAATGGCTTTATTATTGTAGCTCTACTTAGCTTAATTTTTTATATTTTTTGGATAAGTGGAAGTGTTTCCAAAACTTGTCAACTGACATTAGAAGGTCATGTTTTTATTAATCTGTAAAAGCCGATCTTTTTAAAGGAAAGTTGTGACATAAAGAGAGCAGCCACTGTTGGCGCGTATTCAAGTGGCCCCCCGGAAGCAGCCCAGATTCTGTCTGCAGCACAGCTGCTAGAATTCCCAGGGCTACCTTGCTGCCAGCCCAAGATGAGGGAGCATTCCAGCCCCACTCACTTCATGCTGCAGCCTAGCACTAGATCTGGGGTGGCCACAACAGCAGAAAAGACGAGACTGTGGGGTGCGTTGGAGCCAAACTACAGATGCTTGAATGGTCAGAGCACGCGAGCCCCACTTCTTCAGTACTCTGTTCCTTTGGAGCAGAAATCCCAGAGTGGGGAGAAGGAAACACACACTGTGAAGGGCAAAGAGGCAGCTCAAGCCTGACCCTCAGGGCTTCTACTCCAGCAAGTTGGGAGCAGCCCTGCCCCTGCCAGGGCGGGGAGAGGCACTGAGCAGAGAAGACACCGTGCCTCACAGCTGGCTGCAGCCCCAGCTCCTCCATCTCCAGCTCCCTCACCAACACGGCAGCTGCCAGCACACCCGAGGAGAGACGTGGCTGGCGTCCACATCTAACCCAGCTCTCCCAGAAGAGGCACTGGGCCCGTGGAGGTCACACAAGGACACTCCCACATAGGAAAACCTCTTCAAAGCCAAAACAGGTAACTGTCTCGTCTAGATTCACAGAGACGGGGAAAGCTAGGCAAAATGAAAAGGCAGAGGAACTACTCTCCATTGAAAGAGCAAAAGAGCAAACCCCTGAAAAATAAAAAAACAATGAAACATAAATAAGCAACTTATCACATAAGGAATTCAAATCATTAGTAATAAAAATGCTAATTAAATTAGGGAAGAGAAATGATCTGGACACAAGTCATTTTAATAAGGAACTAGAAAACATAACGATGACACAGTAAAACAGATAATTCAATATCTGAGATAAATAATACTCTAGAAGGAATGAAGAACAGAATAAATGACACAGAAGAACATGTAAGTGATCTGGAAGATAGAATAATGGAAATTGCCCAGTCAGAACAATAGATAGAAAGACAAAAACAAAAAACAAATGCAACATATGAGACCTCTGGGGGTAACATCAAACATACCTACATTTGCATCAAAAGGGACTCCAGAAGGAAAAGAGAAACAGAAGAGGATCAAAAATGCATTTGCTGAGATTACTGCTGAAAACTTCACAAATCTGAAGAAAGAAACAGATCCAGATACAGGAAGCACAGGGCGTCCCAAACAAGGTGAACCCAACAGACACACACCAAGTCATACTAAAATTAAAATAGCAAAAGTTAAAGAGAAAAATCTAAAGGTAGCAAGAGAAAGAGAGAAAAAAAGAGTCATATACAAGGGAATCCCCAAAAAAGCTATCAGCTGATTTCTCCTCAGAAAGTTTGCAGGCCAGAGGGAGTGACATGATGTATTTAGAGGGCTGAAAGGGAAAACCCACAACCTAGAATACTCTACCCAGCAATATTAACACTTAGAATAGAAGGAGAGATAAAGAATTTCTCAGACAAGCAAAGACTAAAAGAATTAAGCAATACTAAATCTACCCTAAAAGAAATGTTAAGATAAAGGAATCCAGGCATACTACAAAAGAAAGTCATCAAACCACAGTGAGAGAAGCAAAAATAAGATGAAATGATCAGAGAAAGAACTACAAACACAACTGGGAGGAAAAAAAAAAAGGAGAAAATGGCCATTTATGCAAACTCACATACTCAGTGGTGAAAATCTAAGAGCCTTTCCACTAAATTCAGGAACAAACAAAGATGCCTACTCTCACAGCTTCTATTAACATATTTAACATACTACTGGAAGTCCCAGCCTCAGCAGTCAGGCAAGAAAAAGAAATAAAGCATATCCAATTGGAAGGGAAGAAGCATAACTGTCACTCTTTGCAGATGACATGATACTCTGCACAGAGAACCCTAAAATCTCCACACAAAAACTATCAAAACTAATAAATAATTTCAAGGTTACTCACAAGAGTATAAGCTAAGGAAGGCTCACAGTATGCTTTCAGGGAAATAAGCATTTAATGGGATTGCATGAAGACCAAAAACTTCAATGTTTTCAAGGGAATGTATATTTAACGGTGAAGTTTCAGGTGGTAGAGGAAATATTTTGGGTATTTGGGAATGCTTTCATAACTCAGAATCACACTTTCTTAGTTGGTGTGTTAGTGTGCATAGAGAATAAGCTTCATAAAGCTTTTACTTTTCAGTGAAAGAAAAACCTATAATAACCGGCTATCTTTTTCTCACTCTAGATCCTAGATGTCTGGAACCCCTACAGCCAGGGAACTGTAGTGAATATGTGGTTCGATGGTATTATGACAAACAGGTCAATTCCTGCGCTCGCTTTTGGTTCAGTGGCTGTAAAGGCTCGGGAAACAGATTCAACAGTGAAAAGGAGTGTGAAGAAATCTGCATTCAAGGATGAGCAAGTAAATCACCCTATACTGAGTCAAATCTACATCCCTATCAACAAGCTTAGAAAGAATCTCTATAATTTCAATATTCATCCAATGCAAATAAAACACTGCATTTGAGTCTATGCTGAGCATTGACAGTTTGTAAACATAGTCAAATCCTACAACCACCCTAGGATGTAGGTATTAGTAACTATTTTTTACAGATGAAGATGCTGAGACTCTAAGACATTTAGAAACTCAACTATCACCCAACTAAAAAGTGGCAGAGCTGGGGGGCCTGACCCCGGGCTATGTAACCTCAGTACACATGTTCTATCTACTTCAAAACCTGCAATGTGGTTCTGATTGCCATTAATTCCTTTGCATGTCTATTTCACATGAAACTCCTACCCCAGACCACCCTACTCCCCCTGGCTTCCCCAGTCTCTTAGCCCCTGCCTCAGTCTCCCGAACCCATCAAACCTCTGCCTGCTGCAAAAGGTAGCTGGTGGGGAAGAACTTGGGTTTGAGCCTTAGAAGAGATGAGAGTATGTTTGTGCAGAGATGGTAGCAAGGTAAGAAAGATACCTTGTTTGGGGGAAATCCAGCAAGATGGAGTGTTTCTGGAAGATGAGTGGCCCCAGGGGCGGAATGGGTAGTTGGATTTTTGCTTTATTTGCCCTGAAAATGATTAAGAAACCAATCTGAATCAAAATGACTTAAATTTATTAACAACTGTTGTTTCCCACTCCAACATATTTGGAAGAAAAGCCTTTGTTGTATGCTTAAGCTATATATTTAACAATTGCAATTAAGATAAAGGAACTTTTTCTGCTCTTCCTTTAAAATGTGTAAAAGCAACTTTCAATTTTAGCAGGGTGGAATGGGAAGGCACTTAGCAGCCAAGGGCTGCTCGAAGCCCACATGAACTTGAGCAGGGCATTTTAAAGGCAGAGCAGATGATGAAAAATGAGCCTCCAAACTAAAACATGATGCAACAGAGGACTGGAGGACCAGCTCTCTCATTTTACAACATCTGATCTGGGAAGATCCCTAGTTCTGAGCTGAAATCAAACAGCATTGGTATCCTTTATCTCACAACACACTTTGCTCTTCTTTCAGGCCCGTGACCCTGATTTGAGCTTGAGGGTCCACAAAAGAGCACCCAAGGAAGGAAGAGTGGGGAGCACAGCCGCTTCAGCAAAAACGATGTTGTATAGTTTCAGTTTTTATCATGCAGCATCTGATGCTATGAAATAATATATGCGATACACTTGTAAATTAAAAAACATGTCACCAAGATAGACACCAGTGAACACATCACACAAAGAATAAGCCAAACATAAGCAATTCTGTCCAGACTTCCTGTGTGCCCCCTCATCAACCCAACCACCTGCTTTCTGCAGGAATATTGCATCTTGAATTTTGTGCTTACCATTTCAGTTTATCGTTGGCTTTTGTATGCAATTTTACATGTAAAACCACATAAATCTACGTATCTCTAAATAATACATAGCCTCACTTATTTTAGAGCTTTATAAAAATGGTGTCATACTCTGGTCTTCTGCAACTCACTGCTGCTACTGCTAACTCACTTCAGTCGTGTCCGACTCTGTGCGACCCCATAGACGGCAGCCCACCAGGCTCCGCCGTCCCTGGGATTCTTCAGGCAAGAACACTGGAGTGGGTTGCCATTTCCTTCTCCATCTGCAACTCACTACTTCCATTCAACATTGTAACTAATCCCTGTATTACCATATCTAAGTATATTCTCAAGTAATTATTTAGGTTTTTTGAGCTAGAAAAAATTGGTTTCATAATATGTAATTCTTTGTCGTTTGGTATGTTATTACACTATAGTTCACACATGTTCCCTATCACAGTTTTATAATATTGGTATGACTACATCACAACATTTTACCATTGCCTTGTCTGTGTTAAATTGTTTCTAGTTAATATTTTTCACTATTCCAACAGCACTGCAATGAATGCTGTTACACACGGCTTTGGGTGCACGTGTACCAGTGGTTCTTCAGGCTATATACCCAAGAGGGGAACTGGCTTCCCTGGTGGGTCAGACGGTAAAGAATCTGCCTGCAATGCAGGAGACCCAGGTTGGATCCCTAGGCTGGGAAGATCCCCTGGAGAAGGGAATGGCTACCCACTTCAATATTCTTGCCTGGAGAATCCCATGGACAGAAGAGTCTGGTGGGCTACAGTCCCTGGGGTCATTGTTAGACATGACTGAGAAACGAACATTTTCAAGATACATAAATATTCAAAAATAGTGTGTCATGCCAAATTTTCTCCCAAAGTGTTTAAACCAGTTCATTATAAATTTCCACCAGTTGTGTGTAAATGTTCCCATATCTTGGTATTCTTTTCAACACAATATTGTCAGACTTATTCACTTTGCTAATACTGGATATAAAATGGTATCTTGTTTTAATTTGCCTTAATATGGTAACATCTTACCATATTTATTTACCATCTGTGCTGCTGCTTCTGTGAAATGTCTGTTTATAATTGGGGGAGATTTTTCCATTGGATTGTCTGTCTCTGCTTATTGAATTTCTGGAACCCCTTATATATCCCGAAATTGAATTCTTTGCTCATTATTTGTGTTGCTAATATCTTTGTGACTTGCCTTTATTATACTTTACTCTTCTTTTTTTTTTGATGAACAGAAGTTCTAATTTTAATGCAAACTGACCCATCTTTTCTTCCATGACTAGCATGTTTCCCCTCGTTTATGCTGCTTGGTCTCTGGGCCACCTATCTTGGGCAGGAAACTCACCGGGGACAAAATCTGCTCTGGGTTCTGGTACACCTCTCTGGATTCCCATTTTCACACCTAGTAATTCCTTATGAGTCTATTAGCGCATTGGTCAGTTCCAGGTGACTGTTTTTAATTCATCTTTTTTTTAGTTGTCTCAGTGTGAGAGTGGGTCTGAACTACATAGAAGGCTACTAGCGCATTTTTGTTGTGGGCTGGAAGACTTTGGGTGCTTTCTTACTTCCTAGAGGCCCAGTAATGCACTAAAAAGCTCATATTAGTCACCATATGGTTGTTGGAAAGTAGAAAGACCCTTCCGAGTATCTAGCCTGCCATTTTGCCAAGAGCAGAAGTTACTTACGTTTATTTTTCAAGCTTCTCACAACTTTTCCCATAAAGGAAATTGATACGCAAATGTGTTGGAGCATTGACTTGGGTGTTCATCTCCTTGTCTGAAACGTCTTCCTCTTCCTTCGTGTGACTGGACACATCCTAACACTCTGAGGACAACTTGCAGGCCTCCTCCTAGGTGGTACTCTCATCGCTCTCCCTCGGGCCACGCTCAGCTCTGGAGGACCTAAAGCACCTGCCGATGCCTCCAGTCTACCCCGAGCAGTCTGACTTGCCTGACACCCAGTGGAAGGCACCTACATTTGTTCTGTTTTGCTGCCTTAATGACTGTACCGCACATTGGGGAGCTTAAGCAACACAAATGCACTTTCAGTTCTGGAGGTCAGAAGTTTGATGCAGGTCTCACTGGGCTAAAATCAAGATGTCAGTGGGGCAGCATTGCTTCTGGAGCATCAAGGGAAGAATCTGTTTCCTTGTGAAAGTGAAAGTATTAGTTGCTCAGTCATGTCTGACTCTTTGTGACCCATGGGTTGCACCTTTCCCAATTTCTAGAGAGTCCTACATTCATCCTTGAGTGCATCATCCCTTTCTCTGTCTTCAAAGCCAGCAACAGCTGACTGGCTTCTTCTCATATTACCATCTCTCTGGTGCTCTGAATACAGCTGGGAACGGCTCTCTGCTTTCAAGGACTAATGTGATCTGATAAGCACCCCCTCCCTGGACAATCCAGACTAAGCTCCCCATCTCAAGGTTCTTAACCTTAATCACGTCTACAAAGCCCTTTTGCATGGAAGGTTCTGGGGATCAGAGAATAGATATGGTCACACCCATTATTCTGTTGATCACAGCATCTGCACAGCATTCTGTTCTCTGAGCTTAGGACCAAAGATGTGCCTTGTTTATCTCTGTGTCCCAGTTCCTGGCACATAGGAAGAACTCAATACATTAAGAAATATTATAACTCATTTTATAAAAGTCATTACAGAAATAATTAACTCCTTGAAAGAGAGGAATAGAAAAAGTTGGGGGAAATCACACCAGTTTAAAAGAATAAGAGAGAAGTGACATGTCAACAAATAAAAACTACTACTTTCTCATGCACTTTGAGATTCAGAATATTCCTCCCTTCTCCCCCAACCATGATTAGCAAAATGAAGAAGTCAGAGGGAGTGTTGTCTGGCTAAAGAATCAAAGAGGCTGAGCCGAACAACCTGAGAATTAACTGTGGAAAAGAGAAGATGATTCATGTTTCCATTTAAACCTAGTTACAATGCTAATATGGAAATAACCCAAGTGCCCATGAACAGATGAATGGATAAAGAAGATGTGATACACACACACATACACACATGCAGGAACATTATTAAGCCATGAAAAAGGATGAAATATTGCCATTTGCAGCAACATGGATAGACCTGGAGAATATTACGCTTAGTGAAATAAGTCAGAGAAAGACAAATACTGTATGAAGCCACTTATATGTAGCATATAAAAAATAATACAAGTGAATCTATATATAGACTCACCAACATAGAAAATAAACTTACGGTTACCGAAGGGGAGAGGGAGTGGGGACAGACAAATTAGGAGTCTGGGATTAACAGATACAAAGTACAATACATACAATAGATAAACAACAAGGATTTAATGTTTAGCACAGGGAATTATACCCAAATATCTTGTAATAAACTATAATGGAATATAATCTGAAAAAAAAAACAAACCAAAAACTGAATCACTGCTATACACCTGAAACTAACACAATATTGCAAATAAATTTTACTTCTCTTTTTAAAAAGATAACAGAGATGAGAGAGAGATATGACATTTTGTTTCTCCATTTTCAAGTAAAAAAAGGACATACTATGTATACAATGTGCTGAAACCCAAATGTGTATCAAAAGAAGTCTCCATTTCAAATTAAGACATTGAGACAGTTTTAGTACTTTATCAAGTAGCAATGACATTCAAGAATTTTAACAATGACAAACGTCCACTGAAATGTAAAAATATCTTAGACCATCACTTCTATCATTTTCATTTAGTCGAAATCTCAGTCTCACTGACTATAAGAACTGATCTCATCAGGTATCTAAAGAGCATGCTAGATTTATAAAATGACAAGTAGGTTTGGTGATTTTGGTCTTAATGTTCATTCTAAACACATGAAAGAATGAGAGAATGTGTATTTGCATGTTACAAATTTACATGTAGCAGAATTGTTTCACATCGCTAAGAAACCAAGAGATCCCATAAATAAAAAAGAATTAAAAATGAAAAAGTAGGAAAATGATAGGGGCTGGCAAATCAAACAAGATGGCCAAAACAGCTCTGAAGGGATGCTTAGCTTCCTTGACTGTCAGAGAAATGCATGCTATGCAGGTCTGGGATGAGGCTGGGCACCCATGGGCGATTCTGAGGAGCTACCCTGGCTGAGAACCAGCAAGTGGACATCTGAATTATGCCAGTCTCAGGAAAGAGTCTACTATTTGATTTGAAATTTTAGATATGCAATGATTTATGCCCTTTTTCTCTACTAAGCTATAATTCAATGTCTCTCATGGACAGCAGAGCAAAGATGGATTAATGCTGTTGAAATGTCCAAAAGCTTCCCCCTCCTTATAATATCTTTGAGTGAGACGCCACTAAAATAAGATATGATTTGAATATGTGTGTCTGATTGTTAAAAAAAGAAGAGCCCCAAACATCATATTTCACACATATGAATGGCATTTCTGATTTCTATATATATGACTGACTTGATTTCTAAACGCATTCACTATTTCATATCATTTTTCATAAATTAGTGTGAAAAATCATTCATTTAAGCTAATTCATTAAAAGTCACATCAAACCCTGAAAGTTAGGAAATTTTAAGTATCGCTGTAGCCAGGCTGAGAAAATATGAACTCTTAAACTTGCCAAGGATCCTAAGAGGCTTCTAATCCTGTGTCTGCTCTATGCCGTACACCCTTTGGACAAACACTCTTGGTGACTAGGCATTCTTGGGGTAAGCATTTCTGCCAGGACAATGGTCTCCTCCCAAGGCAGCCCATTCTTTAGGTAACACCGACTCTCACAGCTCCAGCTGAACTGGACGGCCCCTGTGGCTTCTATCCTAACAAACTCCTAACCTGACCTTGTGGAGCCTTTCAGAATGCTGTGTTATTACTTTAGGATAGCCAGTATGACCTCATTCATTTTGAACTGCTTTAGCAGCTTCTCCTATTTCCATGGGTCTTTTAGCATCCTACCCTCTTAATTCTGAGCATGCCCTCCAGCCTGCAATGGGTGTTCTGGGTGCCTAGAGGAGGGGGGAGGTGCAAACATGTTAACACAACCCTGGTTCTAAACAGTATTATGTTCCTGCAGAATAAAATAGACCTAAGGTAACTGCCACGTCAACAGAAGGCACGGGAAGCTAAGAAAAACAAGAATTACACAGTAGGAATTCTGAATAATAAATTAGGACTTGTGGACTGCAAAGACAGCAAAATAGAGACTTC